TATATATATATATATATAAGTAATGGAATTCTTAATAAATGAACAAGGTGATGCTATATGAACCTTCTCCTCCTGTTTCTCTTCTGTTTAGAATTTCCTGTTTTTCTCCTGGAGTTTCGCAGCATCATTTTGCAGCTCAACCCTCGGAGACCGACCTTCATCATCCCTCTAGAAGATGGTTTTCTTTCCCACATTTACTTTGACGTTTTGACTCAACACATACTAAACATTGCTTACATTTATTTAGGCCTATGTATGTTCTAATTTTAGACTGTGAAAGGAAAAGATCATCAAGAGCAGCAGCTGAATGATTCCTGGCTCAAATTCACATTCTTCCCATTTTCCTTAAGTTTCCTTTTTGTTACTGTCTGCTCACCTGCAGAGCACTTTACTCCGAAACATCTGTTAATAAATCAGTTTTACATTTCATTAATAGGCAATGAATGTCTTCTAGTCTAAGTGAATTATTTTTAAAGTTATGTGAAAAAATTAAATTTAGTTAACTTTTACCCTTGATTCCTGCAAGGTTTTGTAAAAACCAACAGTAAAATTTCTCTGTGGTTAATAGGATCCCACCACCGATTAGACATGCTAGTAGACATGTTAACAAAATGCTTCTCCTGGCTGTATCACGTAAAAGTAAACAGAAAGCGTGATATTTTTAAGTTAAGTAAGTAAGTTTTTCTTGTTTATATGAAGTTCATTTTGAGATATTTCATTTGGAAAGATAAAGGAAAAATTCAGCTAAAATAATGATGTGCTAAAAGCAATGTAATGTACCATGATGGAAACGTCCAAAGGAGTAAAGAAAATATATCGCTTAAGATGCTGTATTGCATTCCTTCCATATCACTCCAGTGATCCAAATGCCACAGGAGATCAACAAGGGTGTAAATAATGGAGTGCTTGTGTGTGTATGTGTTGTGATATGTTTGTCATACTGCAAATGGGAGAGTACCTATGTTCCCCGGGTCCTATNNGTATGGGACCGGGAACCCTAACCCCAATATCCTAACCTTAGCAGGGAACATAGGACCTGGGGAACATAGGGATGACCCCGGGGATTACACACACTAAAGCACCATTATGGTATTGAACAGTATAATGAGATGGGGATGGAATAATTAATATCTATAGTTTTAGCTAGAACACGTTTTAAAAAAACAACAACATGTTTTTTTCATGGTTTTGGGGCACTAGAGTACAAAGAAGATCCCAACAAATTGACACTGCACACAGGAAGCTAACATTAGCAATTATCGGGTCAATGTTGACTGTAATTAATGCTGGGCAGCTACTATACATTGTTTTTTGTTTTTTAATGGATATTGCTGCCTTTATATAATAATGTTAAATCACTCTAAATAGTGTTGCATACCATTTTAATACCTGGCGTTTTACAGTATTTTTATGTCTTATTAAGTTTTACTGTCAGCAGTGTCGTTAGAGTTAATACCAGGAGTCTCCAGTAGGGGGAGCGCAGCTTCCTTCAATTACTTCTAACGTGTTGATTCTTTGGCATAAAATACTCCGCTTTTCAGGTACGAGTCCCTGTTATTAACGTCTTATGTTTAAATCAATGTCTACACTTCTAAAGACACCATGTGTCTATTAGCATGTTTTTATATTGTGAAGTAATAAGGTAATGTAAGTTAGTTAGCGTTTTGCGAATGCTCACTGCACTTCCCATGGAGTAGCGTTAACGTTAGCTAGTAGCTCGTTAAAATACGATATAACCTATCTAATGTTATAATGTGTAAGTTAACTTATATTTACTGTGCTGTGGCGAAGTATGGTACTGTAATTTACTGTAATTGCGCAGTATACCTAAGAATGAAGCCAGTCAATATTTTGTGGGCTGCTGCATTGGTTTATTTTATTTATTGGACACGTATTTAGTGTTATATGTTTCGCCATGTTACTGGTACCTGACAGTAGTTATACAAAATGTCAATGCAAGTTTCACTGTTCATTATTCAATAACAGCCTGCTGTATTTATTTCCATAGCATTCCAGGTCGTATTCATGTTGCATACTGCATACTTATATATTATATTATATATCATATTATACTGTGAGATTTAAACATGATTATTTGTCAGTGCTTGAATTGGAGCTAAAACGTGCCATAGCCCTGAGCTCTCTAAACCAGCAGCTGCACAACATGTGGCTTTATCTTAGATAACAAGTCCTGGTAATTTACTGTACGTGAAAATAAATCTACATGGACATTCACAATATATCGTTAAAGGATACAAGCTTGTTTATCTCGTTGTCAGCTGAACGTGAATGTATTTGTGCACGTGAGGTAAACCAGTTATCAATATATATTTAATTGGCCTAAGGGCTGGCAAAGCTCTAATGTTTCCCACAGTGACAGCAAATGAAATGTCATCTTGAATAGTGTGTGTTATCATAATTGTGAGGTAGGGTGTGTGTGGGGGTCAGTGACCTTACATTTGCTATTAACAGTGCAGATGATGCCTATGTTGAATGACTGTAGCGCAGAATAGAAAGCAGAAAGTGAAGAATACTGAAAGCCATAGACGATGTCAGCTCTTGCAGAGTGTTAAAAAAGGGATTCATCACATATCAGTACTTTGTAAAAGCAGAGCATTTAGTAAAGACAGCTTTTTATCTCTTACATTAACCGATGAATCAAATCTTAATTAATAATGACCTAAAACTAAATTAGGCTATACTTGTGACAGCATTTTTTTGGAACCTTAGTTCTGAAAATTAAAAAAGGGGACACAAGCTGTATTGTCTACTCTGCTTTTAATTTAAGATTGCATTGAAGATAAGATAGAATTTGATTAATAGATTAATGTCTTACTCCGGGGGGATTTAAGTTGCAGACAAGGCCACTGTCTATTCCTGAATATAATGTGTGTTTGTGTGTATTGTCATGTGACAATAGATAGAGATGGATTACGAGGGACGGGCCTTTTAAGGAAGATTGAGCTTGGGAGAATTCGCTTTTTTTTCACAAACAAATATGAATTATTTCTTATTGTTCGCCATTCCATTACGTTTGTAATATTAATTGACAATCCTACTGTGTAACCTTTTCCAGATTTTTGGCCACAAACTGTAGTTGGAGCCCACTGGTTTCTTCACACAATTTAGCCTGACTTGTAGCTGGTAGTCTCACATAGCCAGACCTCTCCACACTTTGTTTTAGCACTTAGTTATTGGTTTATGCAGGCGTCAGTATTTCTGGTACAGTTATCTTAACTGCATTTTGATAAATCCAGCTGCTTAATGAATGTATGTCCCCACTGACAGCTGATCCTAATTTTACCTCAGATGTCCCCACAATGGATTTTTGGCTGAAGCTGTAACTGGGCACTGGATTACCTTTTACAGCACCAAAAGAATGCATCACAGCCGACCAAGTACAGACGTCTGGAGTTGTAAGCCATTCAGGGAATACAAAGTGACACCAGAAGCAGTGAGAGAGAAGTGACAAGAGTTCCCTTGGAGGTATACATTTACACACACACACACACACACACACACACACACACACAGACACACACACACATTGAATTCAGCTCACTACACACACACTACACAAGTAACACTAAAAGATGGCTTATCAACCTCACAGTCATCAATTTATGCACTGTATAATAATTAAATGAAAGCCCAATTTAACTGGAGATAGCATTAAAAACCAAAGTGAATGAGATACAAAGCTCTCATTTTCAGCCTGTGAAAAGGGGGGAAAGGGGACATAACTTTTACCAAAATATCATTGAAAATGTTAAACAGTGTGTTAACTATTTGGTATCAAAACTCAATAATGTAGTGTGCTTATTAGAGAAACTGTGCCAACTGGATCTAACAATATTGTATGCACAAAAATGGGGAGCTCATCAGACTGAAACTGGCAGGCAAAAGAGAGTTTTGAAAAATGTCTCTTAGAGGTTTAACAAACTGCTTATTTCTCAATGGTCATTTATGGGTTTTGCCTTCATGGCTACTAAAATAACCTATGCAAGCTCAAAATATGAATCATTTAATATTTTTACAACAATTGATATGGTATAGGATGAAATAAGTAAGCATTGTACTTACCAATTATCACAAGGTATATCCCTGCCCAAAAATCAACTGTAGGTGACAGTTTGGATATGAATCTATCATCCATGTTTGTCCAGTCAGTTGTTAAAAACAGACACACAACTTACTTCCAGTAGGAAAAAGCCCCCCACCTTTAATATGTTATCAAGTCGAGTCCTAAATGTACCTGTGCTGAATTTTTAGAAAGACTGAGCATAGTGTTTCCTGTCTCCTCTGCCAGCCCTCATAGTCTTTCTGTGTGATGTAGCATCTGACACCTAATATACAGGCATAGACAGGTTACTCTACGGTACAGTAAACAGTGACACAAATGATCGACAAACCCCCCCCCCCACACACACCCTGCCACATACACAAGCCACACCAACATACGCACTATTGCAACCTTGCGCACACACAAATACACACACACACACACACACACACTGCTAATGCAGATTATGATTTCTAACAATGCTTGTCCCTCAAAAAACCACTTCACTTATGCACACACACGCACACAGACACCTAGGCTGGATCTATAAAAGCCTGAGGTAATTACACAATATGATGTCAGCTCGTGCAGAGGGTTAAAAAAGTGATTAATAATCACTTCAGTACTTTGTAAAAGCAGAGCATTTAGAAAATGTAGACAGCTTTTTATCTATTACATTAATTGGTCCATTAAATGGATTACTTAGAACTAAATTAGGCTATACTCATTTTTTTAAACATTAATTATGGAAAATGAAAAGGGGACCCAAGCTTTATCGTCTACTATGCTTATGATTCAAGATAAAAGATGAGATAGAATTGGATTGATATATTAATATCTCACTTGGGGGGGATTTATGTTGCAGACAAGGCCACTGTTTGTTCATGAATATAATGTGTGTTTGTGTGTATTCTCATGTGTGGGTGCAGAGGGGAAGAGATGGATTAATCTGGGCCTTTCAAGCAAAAATACAATTTGATGGTAAATGGGAACTATTTGACCATTCTTTGATGATCCCGCTTGTGAGAACTCATGAGACGGAAGTGGTAGTGCTGTTTTTTTCCCCACAACCAAATATTAATTATTAGTTTTATATATATATACCTTAGCAGTCTGGACCACTCTGCTGATAAAGGATGGTAGTGAAACTTGGTGACGATCATTAACAAAACTTTATTTGTGGAGAAGATTTATGAGGAAAGTGCTGTGAATTGAGGGCTGATCTGCAAAGTCTGAACTAAATTACGGTTTAGCTGTAGCCCATGGGCCCAGGTGGCTGCAGATGACAAAGTAAAGCAAGCACAGCTTTTTTTTTACCAGCCAAATGATTGAATCACTCTCTAATGTTTACCACTGTCACATCCATACATAAAGCAGGAGTTGTAGTTGGAGTTAGGTGATTTGACTCGTGTGAGAGTTAAGTTTTTAGAGTTAGAGAGAGTTTTTTGGTACTCAAATTCTAAATAATAATTCAGTGTGAGAACTCAAATATGGAAATTACTTACTAAAAAAATCTCTAATTACAATGTGTTTTTCATGGATGATACATGTGTGTTTCTTATTCTTCCAGTATCTGCACCATTGAATTTTACTTTGAAAAGTTTCGCATCACAGTTTTTCGTTCTGACTCTAAAGACAACTGAACCCTTGACCCTGGTTAATATAGCCTGCAGCGCGTCTTTACCTTGCACCTCCTCCCCATTTATCCAAGTGATCTTTGCACCTCTTTATGTGTGAAAAGGGCAGTGAAAACACCAACGTTCACATACTGTCTCTGAGGTATAAAAACGCTGTCAATGGTTGAGAGTGAAGCTGCTGTGATCATGCACAATTATCATATTGTTCTATATTGTTACTGCAGTTCTAGTGGTGCATTAAGCCGATGGCCATTTTTGATTAGTCACTGGTGTTTTCTACTATTTCCATTAACTAATGCTAATTGAGTTTGAGTCTTGTGTACATGAAGATGTAGTTAATGGCATACATAGTCAGAATGTAACATACATGTTAACAATTTGATTTCAGAAGCATTTATTGAAATAATAAACATATACATGCTGTAGGTAGAATATTAAGTAAAGAAAGGTGAGTATGCAGATCCAAAAAAAAGCCAGACAGACAGAGAAAGGGAAAACAACTGTCTATCCTGCTTTGTCTGTGCTACATTCTGCCTCACATCAATATCACCACATGTCTTATCCACATGGAACAGGCATGCATGCGTGTATGCGGTTGGCATTCATATACCTCCTATTGCCATGCCAATAACAACTCGTTCTTCTGTTTGGCTTATTTCTTGTTCTTGATGTTCACATGCAAGTGAGCTTTTATATAAGCCACAGCTTTGGAGGACCGGGTGTGACCAATGAATGGCAAAAATAAAAGATTACGATTTCTTTAATTATTTTGATAATAGTCTTGGTTTGTACGTAAACATTCTTTCTCTGGCCAAGAAATAATCCCTCCTGGTGTAATTTCCAATGTAAGAGATGGGGGACCAAGCATTTATACTTGTGCAATGATGTGTCTGCATTGCTTTGCCACTATGTTGAGTTTCTTCTCTGGATGTTACTTGTGACTAATTTTGCAGTCGATTTAAACGAAAATTAAAATTTAGACTAGAAATGAAATGAAGACGTTAATGTTATTAGATGAAGAAAGAGATTACTCTCCTTATTTATTTCAAATTTTTATTTTATGTTTTTTCCACTGCTGGATGACTTAACTTTGTGAACTACAAAACGTAGAGGATAGCTTCAGCGATAATGTGAAGTTACAGAGGATATTGTTCCAGCTCTCAGGGAGCTAAAGCATATACAGCGAGGCTGACAGCTGTTTTATAATGTGATCACTAGTTTGTAAGTGCCCATCGTAACCTACCATACTCGGAGTATTTTCTTTTCAACGCCAGTTCCACCATCCTCTTTTCCCTGAATAGTACCATCTCTAGCAGAATAGTTGTGTGAGGTTAGATGGTAGAGCGTGAAATCAGCTGTTAGAATCCCAAAGCAGACAACAGAAACCAGATGATAGCACTATAACTTTTTAAAGTGGGACAAAGATGACCCAGTGGTGGCATTAGTCCGGGGAAGAGCCCAAGCAGGAGGCAGCCCAGACTAGTGGCGTATAAACGCACTCAACCAGTGTTTTACATTAATAAAATATGATAATTGGTTTAACCGACTAGTATTTCTGGTGTCGACTAGTGAGATTAGCAACATGTAACTGACTAGTCGACTAATCACGCACTTCCTTAAATTCTTCATGTACTTTAAACTAGGGCTTTGACTCCGAACTTCGTTATTTGAATATAATTCGAATATTTACAAAAATAAAGATATTTGAACGAATATTAGG